AGATAACTTAAAAAGAAAGAGATAACTGCAGCAAATATCATGATTTTTATTTCATACAGAAAAAAAAAGACTCAAGCTTTCGTGACCCGTCTGGTCACATCATCAGGAACAAAATGAAAGATTAAATTTTTAGAAAACAAGAGCAAAGGCAAAATTAAATATGCGACGAACAAATATAATTGTTGAAGAATTGAATTCATATAACATGTTGCACCACCATTATAAAGTCCAACTAATCCACAAGGTACACGAGGATTAACTTGTGGCATAAACTCCCATTCAGTTTGTTTTTCAAGTAAAGGTCTATGATGAAGATTAATAAGATCAACAATAATTGTTAAATTTGTACGACAATTTCGAACTAATTCAACAAGTACATCATATGCAGCTAAACGACTTTCACTTGTTGAATATTTTTGGTTCAGGTACAGCATCCTCTAATGAATCCTTTTCCTAATTTGTTGGTACGACTGTTAATAATGTACGAATAAGTCTTAAATGACCCATAAATAAAATATTATCAATTGTACGTAATTCATTTGATGTTGTTGATATTGTATATGATGATAACCAATTAAATTCATCAGACCAAAATATTTTGTTTTGTATTTATATTAAGTATTGTTTGCATTTGTTTTGGTAAATTTTCTGTTAATTGAAAACGTAAATCATAATAATAATTTTTGACTTGAACTACAAGTTGTTGCGCTTGATGGCCGTAATGTTAATCGAGCTTCTAATACTATTTTATGAATAACAGTTCTTAGATCACATGCTGATGTTTCAATTTTACATAAACGTATTATATTAAGTGACGCATATTGACGAACGTCACGAGAACTTGTACTGATGTTAAATTTTTTTTTTTTTTTTTTTTTTTTTTATACTACTATTTCGACAAAAAACATGTGCATTAATTTATTGTAATAAAGCATGACGATTTAATTTAACTTGTTCTTTTTATTTAAAGCTTGTTCTTGTAAACGTATATTTCCAGCAGCAGTTGTAAATGTTCAACAGTTGCTTGAAAATCAAAATCAATTGTATCAAGTACATTATCATTAGTTATTATAGCTATTGATGAATTTGGTCTTGATAATATAATTTCTTCTGATTGATTATTTCCACATAATAATAATTGTATTAATTGTAATATTAATTTTGTTATTTCTCGGCATAATGAATGTTGATAATCATCATGTATAAAATAATCTAATGATTGTAATAATTTAAATAAAAATTCTACACCTTCATGTTCAATAAAATCTTGTCGGAATAATTTTGAACTTTGTTTTATACCAACGAATTTAATCCTAATTCACCAAGAATAATTTTTTTTTTTTATTTGATATTCTAAACCATGAAATGGTGTTATATGAGCTGTTGGTGAATGTTCATGTTCAACAATATGAATATATTCTTCTGTTATCATAAATAAACGTTCAATATTTTGTAACCATAACTGATGATCAATATTGATTGATGATTCATTTAAAATTGTTGAACTATCCATTGTTATCAATTGTTCACCATAACTTTGTAAAGATTTATAATATGCTTCCATTGTTGATGTTAATGATGTCGATGGTGGTATAGCATATATAAGTAAAGAACTTAAACGTGTATAAACTTCTTTTAGAAAACATTCATGTAGTGATTGAGCTCTTGGACGATGTGTACGATTTGGTTGTTTTTGTATAATATAAATCAAGTAAAAAACGTGTTCCATCATTCGCAAGATTATCATCACTAACACATAAAATTATATCCCATAATTCATCATATCACATGTAATATCATTCAAATTCTAATATAAGATGGAGGTATTATTTATTGATATATTATAAAGTAAATGATAAGTTTGAGCTTAGTCATCAGCATCGAATAATAATATCAAATATGATAACAAATGTAATAATATTTAAATTTTTAATATAACATCGAGACATTATTTATTAATATAGAATAAAATCAATAATACGTTTTCGGCTGAGTCATATGAGTCAGACAATAGTATTTAATGTAATAACATTTAAATTTCAATATAAGATAGACACATTATTTAATAAAATAAAATCAATAATATGTTAAACTAAGTCATAAGAATCGAATAATCGTATAACATATGATAACATTTTGAATTTTAATATGAGATGGATACATAATTTCATTATATATGATAAATCTAATGATATATTTGAGTTGAGTCGTATGAGTTGGATAATAATATCAAACAATCTACGATAGAGATATTATTTATTAATGTATAATGAATTAATAATGTATTAAAGCTGAGTCAAACAATAGTATCAAATAAAGTAACAATTAAAGATGTATTTGAGTTGAGTCAGATGAGTCGAACAATGGATTAAAAATAAAGAAAAATGAAAATGAAATGATAAATAGAGATGTTATTATCAAAAACAATTCAATATGAGTAGAAGAAATATCAAATAAGGGCAGAAATTATCAATAGATAAAATTAAACACAAATAAATATCAATAAGAGATGGGATAAAGAACTGATATTTAACAATGAAACTTAGAAGAACAGAAAGTGAACGTATATTTATAGAGCTATTATTACAATTAAATGTCAATAATAGATGTGATAAAGAAATAATGTATAGCAATAGACCAGTTAAGAGAAACAAAAGTGAACATCTATAATAGAGATTTTTAATGTAACAAAGAACAAACAAACAGATCTTTTTTATTTTATTTTGTATGTTAGGTATTAAAATAAAGTTCCGATCAAGAAATAATATGTATCTCAATAGTATCATGAGAGAAGTAAAGACATTCAAGAAGATAATGAGAAAAAGGTTAAGACTTAGAACATATTAAATAAGTTCTCTGTCATGCTGAAGTTTTCATTATTAGACTGACTACAAAGATATGTGTAGATGAAGAAAGACGTACTAATGAAATAGGTTATATTCGAGATAGAATAGAAGATAATCTACTCAAAACAGAAAGGAGAATGAAAAAAAAAAAA